GGGCGTGGTCACTGTGATGGTCACTCATTGGTCCCTGTGGTGGGTGTGGTCACTGTGATGGTCACTTTGGTCACTCTCTGGTCACTCAGTGGGTGTGGTCAGTGTGGGTGTGGTCAGTGGGTGTGGTCACTCTGGTGGGTGTGGTCACTGTGGTGGGTGTGGTCACTCTGACGGTCACTTTGGTCACTTTGGTCACTCACTGGTCATTGTAGGGGGCGTGGTCAGTGTGGTGGTCACTCATTGGTCACTCATTGGTCACTCCGGTGGGTGTGGTCAGTGGGTGTGGTCACTCCGGTGGGTGTGGTCACTCTGATGGTCACTCACTGGTCACTCACTGGTCACTCTCTCCCCTCAGGGCGATTCCGGGGGTCCCCTGGTGTGTCAGTGGTCACTCTGATGGGTGTGGTCAGTGTGGGTGTGGTCACTGTGATGGTCACTCATTGGTCACTCAGGGGGTGTGGTCACTCAGTGGGTGTGGTCACTCCGGTGGGTGTGGTCAATGGGTGTGGTCACTGTGGTGGGTGTGGTCACTCACTGGTCACTCAGTGGTCACTCTTTGTCCCCTCAGGGCGATTCCGGGGGTCTGCTGGTGTGGTCAGTGGGTGTGGTCACTCAGGGGGTGTGGTCACTCAGGGGGTGTGGTCACTCAGGGGGTGTGGTCACTCTGGTGGGTGTGGTCACTCAGGGGGTGTGGTCACTCAGGGGGTGTGGTCACTGTGGTGGGTGTGGTCAGTATGGGTGTGGTCACTCACTGGTCACTCTTTGTCCCCTCAGGGCGATTCCGGGGGTCCGCTGGTGTGTCAGTGGTCACTCAGTGGGTGTGGTCAGGGGGTGTGGTCACTCTGGTGGTCACTGTGATGGTCACTCATTGGTCACTCAGTGGGTGTGGTCAGTGGGTGTGGTCACTCATTGGTCGCTTTGGTCACTGATTGGTCACTCTGGTGGGTGTGGTCACTGGTCACTGATTGGTCACTCAGTGGGTGTGGTCACTGTGGGTGTGGTCACTCCGGTGGGTGTGGTCACTGTGGTGGGTGTGGTCACTCATTGGTCACTCACTGGTCACTCACTGGTCACTCTCTCTGTCCCCAGGGCGATTCCGGGGGTCCGCTGGTGTGTCAGTGGGTGTGGTCACTGTGGTGGGTGTGGTCACTCTGACGGTCACTTTCGTCACTCACTGGTCACTCTTTGTCCCCTCAGGGCGATTCCGGGGGTCCCCTGGTGTGTCAGTGGGTGTGGTCACTGTGGGTGTGGTCAGTGGGTGTGGTCACTGTGGTGGGTGTGGTCACTCAGGGGGTGTGGTCACTCAATGGGCGTGGTCAGTGTGATGGTCACTCATTGGTCACTCATTGGTCACTGTGGTGGGTGTGGTCACTGTGGTGGGTGTGGTCACTCTCTGGTCACTCACTGGTCACTCTTTGTCCCCTCAGGGCGATTCCGGGGGTCCGCTGGTGTGTCACTGGTCACTCAGTGGGTGTGGTCACTGTAGGGGGCGTGGTCAGTGTGGTGGTCACTCATTGGCCACTCTGGTGGGTGTGGTCACTCTGGTGGTCACTTTGGTCACTCACTGGTCACTCATTGGTCACTGTGGTGGGTGTGGTCAGTGTGGGTGTGGTCATTGGTCACTCTGGTCACTCATTGGTCTCTTTGGTCACTGTTTGGTCACTGTGATGGGTGTGGTCACTCTGATGGGTGTGGTCACTCACTGGTCACTTTGGTCACTCACTGGTCACTCACTGGTCACTCTGGTGGGTGTGGTCACTCACTGGTCACTCATTGGTCACTCAGTGGGTGTGGTCACTGTGGGTGTGGTCAGTGGGTGTGGTCACTGTGGTGGGTGTGGTCACTCTGGTGGTCACTCACTGGTCACTCACTGGTCACTCATTGGTCACTCTCTCTCCCCAGGGCGATTCCGGTGGTCCGCTGGTGTGTCCGGCCGCTGACCGCTGGGTTTTGGCGGGAGTTGTCTCGTGGGGGGAGGGGTGCGGGGTCCCGTCCCGCCCCGGGGTTTACACGCGCGTCAGCGCCTTCTCTGATTGGATCGCGGCCCGCGCGGGGGGCGTGGCCTTCGTCTGGCCCCGCCCACGCAGCGGAGACATCCGCCCGGCACCGGAAATGGGCGTGGTCGTGGTGGGCGTGGTTATTGTGGGTGTGGTGATGGGGGTGGGGGAGGGGTGGGGGTAAAAATGGGGGGGAAATGGGGAAAAAATGGGTAAAATCGGGTAAAAAAATGGTAAAAAAAGGATAAAAATGGGTAAAAAATGGGTAAAAAATGGGTAACTTGGTAAAAGAATGGTAAAAAATGGGTAAAAAATTGTTAAAATGGGAAAAAAATGGTTTAAAATGGACAAAAAATGGTTAAAAATGGGTAAAAATGGGTAAAAATGGGTAAAAAAAGGTTAAAAATGGTTAAAAATGGTTAAAAATGGGTAAAAAATGGGTAAAAAATTGTTAAAATGGTTAAAATGGGTAAAATAATGGGTAAAATTGGTGAAAGAATGGAAAAAAAATGGGTAAAAAATTGTTAAAATGGGTAAAATTGGTTAAAAATGACCCAAAAATGGTTAAAAAATGACCCAGAAATGGGTAAAAATGGTTAGAAATGGTTAAAATGGGTAAAAAATGGTTTAAAAACAGTTAAATGGGTATAAAATGGATAAAAAATGACCCAAAAATGGTTAAAAATGACCCCAAAAATGTTTAAAATGGACAAAAAATGGTTAAAAATGGTTAAGAAATGGTTAAAAAGCGTAAAAAATGGTTAAAAATGGGTAAAAATTTGTTAAAATGGGTAAAAAATGGTTAAAAATGACCCCAAAAGGGTTAAAATTGACCCAAAAATGGTTTAAATGGTAAAAAATTGGTAAAAAATGGGTAAAAAATGGTTAAARATGCCCCAAAAAGGGTTAAAATAGCTAAAAAAATGGTTTAAATGGGTTAAAATTGTTAAAATCGGTTAAAATGGTTTAAAACATGGTTAAAATCGGTAAAAATGGTTTTAAAATGGTTATAATGGGTAAAAATAGGTAAAAATGGGTAAAAATGGGTTAAAAATGGTTAAAATGGGTTAAAAATGGTTAA